TTTTTATTTCCTGAAATGTATGTGGAACACTGGAAAGAGTTTTCAGATGACCATCAAACAAAAGACAAACCAAGCTCTACATAGCTACTAAATATCATTACAACTTGTCACTTTTCAGTATGATTTCTGGTTAATTCAGCTTTATTAGCAGCAACAATTGCAGCAAGTGTGCAAAACCAGAATGTATTATCCCATCTGCATCACTTTTTCCGTTCATTTAGTCAGAGTCTGGGGAGTTTCCCATGCTGAATCAGGTATCTTCACTTCATTCAGTAAGTCATAAAATAGAAGAGTTTGAGTCGGAAGGGAGCCCTTGAAGGTCATCCAGCGCAACTCCCCTGCAAAGACCAGGGACATCCACAGTTAGATCATGTTGCTCAGAGTTCCCTCCAGCCCGACCTTGGTTGTCTCCAGGGTGGGGTGCCCACCACCTCTCTGGGCAACGTGTGTGCCTCATCACTCATAGCGTAAGAAACTTCTTCCTTATGTCTGATCTAAGTCTCCCCTCTTGTAGTTTGAAGCCGTTTTCCCTTGTCCTATCACAGTAGACCCTTCTAAATAGTCTCTCCCTTCTTTCTTTTATTCCTTTCTTTCTTATATATATATTTCTTAATGTTTTCAGAACTTTCACTATTAGGCAGTTATCCTATTGTATAGATAGCACAGAAAAATATGGACTGTGGGTATAGGCCAGGTGTTGTTCACTGGGTTTTCTAAAATGTCTTGAATGATTGGAGGCAAGGATGAATAAAGGATAACAAGCCCAGACTTGAATTACTAGAAATCTGTTGAAGCCAAATATGCTAGGAGAAAATCTGTGCTCTTTGGTGTAAATTTAAAGCAGTGCTTAAAACAATAACTCTGAGGAATAGGCAGTATGTGGTGGTATTGCCACCTGCATGTTCCTGTGTGCAGGGAAAGGGGGAAGATTCAGAAAAGTGACTTAGATTATAACAACGAGATAAATGAAGAGTTTGGTGGTGGTTGTCATGTAACTGTGGTGATGAAACCGCTTCCAGGCACCACATGGGGCACTGGATGGATGGTGTTTCTCAGCCCCTTGGGAAAAAGCAGCTTATGGAGAGCGAAGGATTAATTTTTCAACATTGTTTTTACTGAGGAAAAAGTCAACTAATTGAAATTCATTCACTTCATGTGGTGTGTGGCATGTGTAGGTGCAGCATCTGAAATCCAACACGAGAGACATGATTTTGGCAACAACAAAGCAGCAGATGCTTGTGACAACTGAGTGGTGCAACAGATTTCTCTTTTGCTACCTAAGTCAGATGTTTTTCACTGAAATTAAGGTTTAAATGCAATGTTAAGATATCATCTTAGTACCAGCAGGAGATATATAGATATATGGAGATATATATATACACACACATGGTTGAGGTATGACCTTGGCTTCTTTTACATTGATATTTTCAACTCAGCAAAGCAAATGAGTGCATTTAGGAAGAAATAAAGGAAGGAGGAAGGAAAACTAATTTCGGAAAAGCATCATCTCCTCCAATACTTCGGAACCACCTTTTGCAGTATATAAAGGCTAACAGAACTGTCACAGGCTTCCATGAAGTGCCGGTCATGAAAACATCCAAGTGGAAGAATTGAAAAGCTTATTTAAACGTAAATCTGCACATCTGTACGACTGCACTGGTTTTTGCTGTGTGAAGTGGCAGCTTAGACTTGAGATTGTGAACCATGTTTATTTCTGTGATGGTTTCCTTTTGGTTTTCTTCTCTACTGCTTTGTTTATCATTTAGTGATGGAGCAGTGATTTGTGGGAAGAGCTGAAGCTGGAAACCTTTCTGCAGTAGCTGCACGTCTGTGTGCATTTGGGAACAAGAAAGATGATGAGTGAAACAGGTATTTCTCTCTAGGTTAGAAGGCTGGAAAGAGGGAGTTGGGAGGAAATCTCAGGCTTTATGTATTAGGATTTAGGTGACTGGGAGTTTACTTCGAGACTGCTTTTGTTTTTTAGTTCTTTTTTTGTTGTTGTTATTAAGGTTTGAATTGCAACAATGTCACAAGGCTTCATGTTTTCTCATGCAAAACAAGCAACACATGATTTTTCAGTACCTTCTAGTTCCTGAAACAGTTATGTACTGGGGCAATGCTGCAGATGTAACAGGCTTCTTAGAAAATGGCAATCACAGAAAGTTTGTGTATAGTGCAAACTAAAATGTAATGTAAATGACATGACAAGCAAACAAGTAAGCAGTAGGCAACACAAAAATGGAACCAGTGTCAAGTGTATGCATGTATTGTAGTTAACTTCTGAAAAATATTGCTTAGAAAACAAGATGAAACATTGTCTCGATGTGGTGTTCTAGTACATCTAGTACTAGATGCTAGTACTGCCAGAAGGAAAAGAGAACGGGAATTATTTGCCTTAGCAGAGAAGGCAGCTGGTGTACATCATAAAGCCCTGCAAGGTATACTGTGGTGGAGCTGGAAGATGTTTTGATTAGTATAGTTAGACCTTGGTTAATAAGTGTTCAGATATGGTATCTGTCAAGTTGGACCATTTTGACACCAAGGATATTTGAAGGCTATTTTTTAGGTCATCTTGACATTAATGGTACAGTAAGTGGGAAGCTAGGCATGAAACTGAACTTCTTTCAGGCAGAGAAATACCTCACACATGGTCAGCACATAAAGGAGCATCTATTGATCTGAGTTATGAAATCTGTGCTTGAGGAATAGCCCTTGTAAATGTCCTAAAACAACACCTTCACTATTTGTTTGGTGTTTGGAAGTAACCCAGAAGCAGATGAAGTGCTGCTGAAGTTCTACTTTGGAAAGTGCCTCTTCTAAGGGATTGTAATGATGCAAATATGAAAGAGTTTTGTTTCTTAAATCCTGCTGAAATGAACTTTTGGATTTTTCTTGTAATTCTAATACATCTCATCACACTTGAGCCTAATGGTATTAATTGAATCTTGCCTTATGTAACTCAGCTGCTTGTTCAGTTGCAAGAAAAATATCAAACAGAAATCACAGTCAATCAATGAGAAAAGTTCTTAGCAACAGAGGTGTTGCTCATTTACTGCTCAGGGAGCTGTTTGGGCTAGTGAGGTGTGTGATAGCGAGGTTATCATTCAAGAACCTCCCCAGTTTAGGAAAATCCGAATACATACAATATCAATATTTATATATTATTATTAAATCATCAACGGATGCAGTGGAGGGCTCTGCAGTGTAATTTTCACGTGAAGCACCTTCAGTAATATACCACTTAAAATGAGTATAAACAATTTATAGTATAGTATTTCTGAAGTTTGTTACAGGCTTGAGCATTACATTTTGTTTACTACAACAGTTTGTACAGCTGTAAGATATCGTACTTTGTATCATCTGCACATCAATAAAGACCACTATAGGTTAGGTACTAACAAACTTTCTACAATTCTATGAAATTTTTCCAGAATCACTTAAGAGCAATTCTAAACTGTCCATTTAGTAAGCTTTGGAAGTAAAGGCCAAGCTGTTTTCTTCCTTAAGTCAATACCCATTAATTTCTAGGCACAATCTGACTTCTTAGTGAATCTCATTTAAAACATAACCAAAAGAAGTGATACAAAAAACTGTTTCCATTCTTAGCACAAATATGACCAGCTACCAGGCATTGGTGCTGATTATTCTTAAGAGAACATTGCTCAAATAAGGCTTTCACCAGCTAGTTTCTGCAACCCATTCTGTCATGTATGTTTTCATCAGTTGAGTACAAAAGTCTTGCTAGGGCAGACAGCTCTCAAACAAGAGCAAACCTTGTGGGTAGGTAGACTTTTCCTTTCCATTGATTAGCAACTTTTATCATTAATAATGAGTCTGTGCACATACTTAAAAAATAAAAAAGAAATAGATGTTAAAGTCTCCAGTGAACAATAATTTCTTGCACCAGAGACAGGAGTGTGGCAGGCAGTAAGGGGCTGTTCATCAGGACTGTTTTATTGGTGTGTCAGGACATTCCATGATGGCTCTGTTGTGCAACACTGTGGAGTGATATGAGATGCCTTGCAGCTTTAGAATGTAGTCTTGTTCTTTTGGAGGAGATAAAAGATGCTGCCGCTCTTACAATATGACTTTCTGATTTGTGCAAGGAGGAAGAAATGTAGCAAGAAAAATCCTCAAATAAACTGATACCGATCCTTTAGCTTCTGAATCCACGTGCAGTTCATATATGATCACTGAGAAAACAACCAAAGAGAATCAAACCAACAAAAACAATGATTATCTCTTTTAAGGAAACACTGGGTTTATTCAGGATTGCTCCCCAGGTGAGGCACTGAGTGTACTGAATGACAGCTGTTAAATTCTGGTTGTGTGGGTGATGTTAAAAGGTGAGTAATCGCTAGGAACAGCCTAGATCCACATCATTAAATGCTGATTCCAGAGTTCGATACCTGGAACTGCTCAAGATCCTTCATAACAGCAGATGGATTTTCTAGGGGTTGAGCAATCTTCCGACTCAACAGAAGATGTTTTAATTAAGCAATTTTTAAAGTGTAAACACAGATTATTTTGTATAAATCCAGACACATGGCTTTGAAATAAACCTGGAACTAAAACCAAACAAAACTTTCAGACCTGTATGTACCTATATCATATAAAACCATGAGAGGGGAAAAAAAAAAAAAAAAGCCCACTGTTTTTAGTAGCTACACCTAAGAGAGTAAGTTTTCAATGTAAATTTTGTTATTACACAATTCTCAGTATCACAAGTTAGTTTGACTAAACAGCTGGGGCAACCAGATATGTGGGAAATATCTACCTGCTATAAAAGAGGGTAAGAGGTGAAGGTGGCAGTGGGAAGAGGTCAATGTGTGATTGCTGTGTGCTTTTGGAATGGGGTTTATACATGTGTCACTTCCCTGGGGTAAAAACAATGTTTCCCATCCCTCTGGTTTGGGATTTTTTGAGAGTATGGGCATGCTTCATGTGTAGGCAGCGAGCTGTCTCTGTGCGATGGCTGTGTGTGTGAAACATGCAGTTACTTATCCCTCTGGAATGGGGTGACGGTGTCTCTCATGCCTGTCAAGCCCTGTAAAGGCATTAATAGTCTCCAGGGGCAGCTCTGACCCATAGTCCAATTGTAAAGTGGCTGTCACACGACAACACTTGGGGCTGCTGCCTGGGCTAGCCTGTGTTGGCGTACTCATGAGCCTCTTCTCCATGGGGAGCTCCTCTCTGTCTTCCTGCTGAGGACTCACTGCATGGGGCCCGGGCTGCACCCAGGCTGTGACAGTGGTGGGTGGCATGGTGACAGTGGCTCCCTCCTTTTGGCAGGTGGTGTCCTGGTGGTAGGAGACCAGCTCATTACTGAGGTGGACTCTCTCTACTGCAGCCCTGGTGGTGCTGCAGCAGAGGGACTGGCAGCCCAGCAGGTTGCTGAAAGCCCGACGGAAGTCTGCATTGAAAGCATAGATGACTGGGTTCACTGAGGAGTTGGCCCAGCCGAACCATACAAAGACATTGAGGGTGGTTTGGCTGACACATGGTGGCTGCCCTTTGCTGTCGCTCTCAGGCTGGCAGAAAGGTAGCATGCAGTTGAGCAGGAAGAAGGGCAGCCAGCAGCAAACAAAGACTCCCATTATGATGGAGAGGGTCTGCAGCACCTTGGTCTCCTTGCGCAGGGAGCTCCGCAGACTGGAGGCAGGCTCCTTGCTGTGGGCTGGGCACTGCCCGCCTGCTCGTTCCAGGGTGGAGATGCGGCGGATCTGGGCCTGGGCAATGCGATAGATCCTGGTGTAGGTGACGATCATGATGGCCACAGGGATGTAGAAGCTGATGAGGGAGGAGGTGATGGCGTAGGTGCCGTTCAAGCTGACATCGCAGAGGGAGCTGGGGTGCCTTCTGTCCTTGGTTTTGTGCCAGTGCAGCTGCACGGGGACGAAGGAGATGAGGATGGAGAGGGCCCAGGCCAGGGCGATCATGGCGCAGGCCAGACGCTGCGTCATCCGGCGCTCGTAGCGAAAGGGGCTGGCGATGGCCCAGTACCGGTCCAGGCTGATGATGCAGAGGTGGAGGATGGAGGCGGTGGAGCACATAATGTCAAAGGCCACCCAGGTGTCACAAAAGTGGCTGCCGAAGAGCCAGAAGCCACCGGCCACCTCAGTGACTGCCTTCCAAGGCATCACCAGGATGGCTACGCAGAGGTCAGAGACGGCCAACGACAGCACAAACCAGTTGGTGACTTTTGTGCGCAGGTGGCGGAAGCGCAGGACAGCCAGGCACACCAGAGCATTGCCCGCCAGCGTGCCCAGCACCAGGGCGCCCAGCAGGCAGCCCGTCAGTGCCTGCAGTGCTCTCGGGCCGCCCGCCGTGCTCGCCATGAGGGCCGCGCCTCGGGCTACTCACCGCACCCTGCCGTGCCCGGTGCTGCTCTCTGCCGGCGACTGCGGGGCGGAGGCACCGGCTCGCTGCTTAGCATCGTCCCGGAGTGCGGTGGCCGAGGAGGTCGGACGGATGGGCCCCCGAGGTCTGGTTCTGTGCTGCTGGGCAGAGCCGCGGCCGCCTACCAGCAGAGGGGCAGTGCTCGTCAGAGCCTTCACAGCGCACGGCGTGTTCCTGCGTGAGTGCCGAGTAGACTGCAATGAGATGCCTGGTTTCCTAAAGAGCAGGGTAATGCTTGGCATCTGCCTACACTGAGCGCTACTAAATCTGGGAGGATGCTGTGGAAGCTGCCTTCTCACTACAGTGTAGCAACTCTGTTTTGCTGTTTACTCTTGAGTCGAGAAACCCAGAGGGTGGAAGCCTCAGACCTCTCCAGCATGGGTTTTTTATTTTGGCAGAAGGCTGTCTGTGCATTTCCACAGAAATTAGCACCCAAAAACTGCCTGTGGAGATTTCAGCCTAAGGTGTCTTGTGATGCATTTCAGTATTTCCATTTGCTTTTACAATGGCATACGTGTTGTTATATAAATGTGTCTTGCATGCATTTACAGCCTGCTTTAGAGAAGGTGTCCTAATGCAGGGAGGGAATAATCTTTTCTTTTTGAAGAATGCATATGATATTCCCATCACAAGAAAAGGATATGTATGTTGGAACGTGAATAGCAAAGATCAACTCATGTCATTACTTAGCTTGTCAAACAGGCACCTCTTTCTAGAGGAGATTTTTGTTTTATTTTCTTATTTGCTTCCAACTAAAACTGCTTCATCCACCAGTGTCAGTGTAAATAATTGCCAAGCCAGGAACTGTCTGATTTCCTTTGTATGGTGAAGATATTCCTGGTAGTTAAAATAGAGACTGGAACATTTAACATGAATTTTGAATAGTAAGGCTGGCAGCTTACCCTGTAAAAATTAGCATGTTTGGGATAAGTAGGCTGCATTGTGTCAGCTCATAACAGATTGTTAACATTTGGTCGTGGCTTTTAAGATTCAAATTGCTTTGTGCCTTGGAGACCATATTCTTCATAGTGCAGCACTGTGTGCTGTTCTTGCTGCTTCTTTCAGTTCTCTGGGAACTGAAATACATTCCTCATTTGTCTGTAAGACAAACTCTTTATTTAACAATTTAGAATTTTCTCTGATAAAATACGTGCTTTATTAAAGTAATAGTTGCTGTCAAAATAACATAGGCTGTAAGATGCAAGCAGGCGGCACACTTTGGCTTATTTGGAGCCATCTGTATTTCCACATAAATGGATTTTGTCAGCATCTGCTAGCTGTAGGAAGTCTCTGGCTTTTATTCCAGCGCTAAAAACTAAATCTTTATTTGTAAGAACTATATACATTTGCTAATTTTATTCGATACATTTGCTCTTCTTTAACAATCTATGAAACGATCCTGAAGAGTGGAATCTGTTAAGAATAATACACAAGACAGTAGATGAAATTAAGGCACAAATGTACCAAAAATGAAAGCAATGTTTTTGTATGTTCAGCAGTGCTGCTACATGGCTCTATAGCAGAAGGTAGGCAGCATTATGGAAAAACCTGTTTTCAGTGTCTCCGTATATCTCCAGTTTAGCATTCATTAAAAAGGAAAATGAATGTGCTCATACTGTTTTGTGTGCATACGTTTTTATGCAAGTGCCCTACCTTGAGTTTTTGAGACTGCTGGCTGAAGTCAAATCTAGCTGAGAAGCAGAGTTCTAAAAAATTAAGTTCCTGGAGATGTAATTGAAGTAGGAATTGAGGTAGAAGTGAGAGCCCCTACTGGTAGTCTCACTGGTAAAAGTCTGTGTTGTGGATACAACTCTTATTAGGCACAACTGAGACCACAAGAAGTGAGATGTTATTAATGCCCTGATTCTAGAGAAAATATTGACAATCACATTCATCTTCCTAGATACCAGGATGCAAGATGCAAATGCTTAAGAAACCATACAGTGAGTCAGAGGCAATGACAGGAATAGAAACACTGCCCCACTCGTCTTTCTATATTGGTCACGGCAGAGTGAAGAGTAAGCTTATCGCAGAGGGAGGAAAGAGAGATGGGGAAAAACACAACACACTGTGAAAGCCAGTGTGTTGATAATGTTGCAGACTGTTTTTAAGACATGTGGATGTTCCATGCATTAAACTTATCCAGAATAAAATAGGAAGGGTCCAAGAACGATACTGTAGAAGATGCTGCTAGGCTGGGTGAAATAGTCTCTTGTGACTCCAGAATATTTGCAAGCTCATTCTTACTTGAAAAAGGAAACTTGCTTGGAGAATATGTGTAAAACATATTGCAATGTATATAAATGCATGTAATCTCTTCACACTGTACATTTTTTAAATGCCATCATTGTACTGGAAAACTGTCTGCTCAGTGGAACTTTTGTCAGAAACCCAAACCAGTTTCCTTCTCCCTCTCCTTCCCTTCTGCTTCTCTCACTTCTCTCTCATAAAGCTATCTCATCCAAGACTCAGTGCTCATATATTTATAGCACATATTATAGTTAAGCAGAGATCTGATTCAGAACTTAAAATTAAGCCTTTGATAGTGTACTATTACCACATTCAGAGCTCAAGCCTCTGTAGGTCCCTACTGCACTGGCTGATAAGGTAACTACAGGTCAAACTACATCTGCCATCAGGCAGCCCATGACCCTCCAGGCCAAGGATGTGCCTCCTGGGTGAGCATGCAGCCCTTGCACGCTGTGCCACTGTGCTCCTGCCTACTAGCATTGCTCCACAGTGAGGCCCAGCTGGAGGGCACGTATTGCTGCAAGGTCTGAAAGGCAATGACTGCACGCTGCAGGCCACGCTCATCCAACACCAGTTGTTACTGCTTTGTCAAATGGATTTAATGTCATCAGAGTTGATCAGCTAGTTCTTTTACTTCTGATGCTTTGTCACAGTGAGTATAACCAAGTGTATGAAGTAATATTGTTTAGTGGAATATGATTACACTGTGTAAAGACCCATTGAGGATGTTGGTAAAATGAATCTCTGAAGAAGTGGTCCACCTTACAGTCTGAATGGCAGCATTTGAATTGCACTAAACTGGGTTTTGTGATTACCTTTGCCACTACTGCTTTTGAGTGATTTCAAATGCCTTGGAAAAAAATATCATGTAGAATTGAAGGCAAAAACAAAACATCTGAAACAGGGATGATTATCTATCTCTCTACCTATTCATTTTGCACTGTATAGCTAAAGAATGTATCCAGCTTTGTGCAAGTGTATGCTTAAATACATGTTTATGTGTATTATCATCTTGACTCTAGGTAATTTATTCCTGTTTCAGTGCGATGTGAATTTCATTAACCTGATCATATACTGAGACTAGTAAGCTGTTTGTACAGTGGAGCCAACATTTACTGTTGAAATTAAATAGCATTTTTATTACAGAGATATGGCTTACCTGCACAATAGAATTGAAATTCACTGAATAATTCATTGTTTCAGAAGCTGTCTAGACAAGTTAAAGAAAGAATAATTAAGTCAGCAGCAAGGTATCAAAAGCATGCTGAGTCTGTTCATGCCCAATAGAAACAGTTTGAATTTGTGATGTCCGAAACAGAGTCCGTGATTGCTCTTCACATTTTAAGTTAATATGGCTCTTAAACTGATAAAAGTGTTTAATAATCAGCTCTTGAATTCAGACAAACAAGCAGGAGAATAATGATTACAGGCAAGTTGTTCTTCCACAACATTTGCTGGAGTCACAGTGCAGTGAGTACCGAGCAGTGAAGACACCACCTCTTGCATGTTTGGACCACTGAGCAGTTAAGAAGGTATCCTTGAGAGATAAGGGAAAGTTTCTTAATATTTTTATTAATCTTTTTTGGAGGAATAATATTTAAAGAAGTTTCAGTGTTAAAGAAAAAGCACCATCGCTTCTTCTTTATTGCTATTTTCACAAAAGCAAGACAGCATTTTTTACCAGCTCAACAAAAACTGGTGTTTCTTTGCAGAAGCTTTGCTGATCAGGTTCTTTCATACCAGGCTACTGTAGACTGTTTAGTCTACTGTAGTTGACAAATTCTCTAGATGCAGAGTCTCTGTCTTCTCTGCATATGTAATCTAAACAGAAAAGTTCTGTCTTCTAATGAGTGGATCACTGAGGTTTTGTTTACAGTGAGCTGTGGGTGTGCACTGCAGCACGTCCCACCATCTCCACCCAGATCAGGAGATTTACAGGAGCACAGTCTGGCTCCCTTTCTGCTCTTGCCCTGAGTTTCCTTCCCACAGATGCCCAGGTGCCCAGGAGAGCCACCAGGTCAGCACACACAGGGATTTCTAATGGATGGGTCAGAACATTTCTACATAAACACAAGAATATATGGAGTTAAATGCTCAGATGTTTTTGGAGTTTGCTCAGTGCAGAGATCACAGATGCTGTTTGGGGCATGGCGTGGGCTTCTAGCTGATACTGAGGCATTTGGTTGAGACTCTAGTGAGCTGTCCTTTTCAATCTAGATGTTCTGTGTAAATCCCTCTCATTGGAAATGCCTGGAGATATCACTGTAGAGTAATAATTTAAATGTAGGTGCAGTATTTTTAGCTTCCAGGTCTGACACAAAACTTGCATGTTTTTGCAAAGTGTACATCCTTCTGTCCAGAGGTTCACTTCTGTTTGAATGTCTCCATTGTTTCCTTAAGCAATAGTTAGCACTGCTGTAATGGCTCTGCTTCCTTCACTGTTCCCTTATTTGAACAATTCTGTTAATGCTGTCATTTTATGAAATTCTACATTTTTACATATAATTAATGTGGTTAGCACATGACTACAGTAAATAATAGATTCTGTTAATAACAAGAGTACAAAAGATGTTTAAGTGATTAAAATAATCAGTAGTTTTAAAAACCTTAAGACTATGAAAATCAAGTTGTGAGGAGGCTGAAGCAGTGTAGGAGATCCAATCAACTGTCACTTCAATTGCAGCTTCAA